TAGCAGGGTACCCTCGTTCTCTCGGAGTGCCCGTGCGCCCGAAAGGACGTTTTTGGAAGGAGGGGACTTCGTTAGCGGCGACTGGTAGCTCGCCGGTTCTGAAAACTGTACACGCTGGAAAATACGCGTTTATTGCGAGAGTTCCGCTTAGAGCGGTCAACGTGAAGGACGGCCTCGCTGGAAACGAGGCTTCCGGAACAGGGACGAGATAACGAATGCACGCAGCCAGTTGCTCAAAATATAACATCGGGGTTGTCGAGGTAGGTTCCTGCGGCTGCGGCGAGGCTGCTCAAATCCTCAATCAGCGTGCGGGCATGAGCATCCGCGGGTACCCTTGCGACGCTGGTGCGGCTGCCAGCCCAGAGACAACGAGTGTCTGAGGCGTGCGACTCGGTTGACGGGTATATCACGTAAGAGTAATGCCCACAAGAGAACATGTCGTGGACTACATTGTGATTCCGTTTGCGGCTCCATAGAAGAAGGCGCTGCCTGCTGTTTGCATCAGTCGCGTGGGAAACGTTTTCGTCGACAGTTCCGTATAACATGGTGCCCAGCCCAGCTCACGTCCGCCGCTACGCGCGCAACGGCCAGCGAGACCCGAAGAACCAGTGCATATTTGTCTCGCTAGGAGGCTAACGTCCGCCGTTTGCGTTCTGGCAAGAACGACACCTGCGCTCAAGAGAGTACTTTTTAGAGCCCCTCTGTTAGGAGCTGCGTAACAGGTGGCGAAGGGGGAAATCGGATAGTACGATTCTGGAAGCTGTTCACGGGGCCCGCAGACCAGAACCACGAGGGGAGGGCGAGAAGCCGCCACCGCGGCTCCACCAGCTGTCTGGGCTTCGTACGCTGAAAAAGCCGCCAGGGCGCTTCTGCTAAACCGTCTACCTTCGCAACCACACAGTTCCCGTTCCTAGCCACATAGTCTGTTGTGGCCTTTATGGGGCGGAGGATGTGACGATCCATTGTCCTTACTCCTCGTGGAAGAGCCAAAGAGATTGAGTGTTCTTTTACCCACGAAGGCTCTAGAGGGTCACGCTGAGCCGTTCACCGTCCTAGTCTGAGAGTTAGCTCTCCTAGCCATAGAGGTACCCTTCCTGCAGAGGTTCAAGAGATCGTGGCCCCTACACGACAAATTGTGTAGGTGGGGTTCCGCGCCACCGATCAGCCTTCTCGCCACGTAGTGAGTTGTGACCTGTGCGAAGCGGAGAATGTGAAGACACAGGTTACACTCTATGTGGAAGCTGAGGACCTTTAGGGTTCCCCTGCCGGCAGGGCGTTTAGGGCCTGCTGCTAAACCGTCTAACTTCCTAGCAACCCAGTTCCTCTCCTAGCCCCATAATCATTTATGGTCGCTCTGAAACGGCGGATGCAACGACATGTCGTACTCATCTTGACGAAATGTAACAGATTGAGGCTTTGTAGGCTGACAACCCATCCAGGAGGCTTCGGCTGAGCCCCCTGGCCCCTTCCTGCCTTCGCAGGTTTCTTATGCGGTTTTCCTCTCTCTGGACGATACAGTGAGAGAAAGTCCCCAGCCGGGGTGTGGTCGAGTACGTCCGTGCGTATCCATACGAAAAGCGCGGGGGCGAGGCTGCTACGAGAAAAAGAGTGTGTACTGCAGGAACACCGCCCCGTGACCTGCCCCGGTGTACCGTACAAACAACTAGCCGTGTTTTCCCGCAGAAACGCGCACAGTATTTTCAAGGTATACGTCCTAGCTGCGTCCACGCTTCATATTGTTTTGCCCCCAAGCGTCACTTCGTACGCAGGGGGGTCCCTGAATAACCTATTCGAGGCCGCTGCAGGTACACCGTGCTGTCTTGGTATCAAAGCCGCAATACTTGATGCATATACTTCGTGCAGATCACATGGAGTCTTGCGTTCAGGTGCAAACGTTCGCTGCGCAAGCGCCGTTTTCTGTGGGCGGTGATTTCAGCAGTTCCACGCGGCAACGTCGACGTAGCTACACCACGCTTGAAGCGGGTGATATACCCACGGACACATTTTCACAACAGCCGTAATAATTCCGTTCGACGTCGAACAACACCGGGAACGGAAGAGATTAGCAAATGTCCAGCACGTACCATGCTAGTTCTGTTTTTGTATGAAAGGTTAAAGTACAGACTAAACGAGGAACATACCCGCAGAGCACGCGTGGAAATGATAGTGGTAGACGTGGAAGACAACCGAGAGCGGGACGACTGGTGACACAGCACGCGATCTCGTAGTTGCGCTGCCGTACTTTTCCTCAGTAGATTCTCCTCCCCGCCTTCCACATGTTTAAGGCGATGAGCTACTGATATGCTCGTGCGGACAGGTTGCCTCCACATTTTACATGAGCTTCCCTTCGCGAACATGTGTCCTCTCCATTTTTGACCCAGTCGCCCACTACAAATCTTCTTCTGTCAGATGCCGCAGGGCCGCGACTTTAATTGCTAGGGCCTATGCGCAAGGCGCATTCTGCCACGCCTTTGTGAGCCTGGGTCAGCTCCCTCTTCCGTACGCGGACATGCTCATATCAGCATCGCTTGATTGTATTTTACCTTTCGGGCACACGCTGGTGTAAAACGGTCTTCGCGCCTCTGAAGGCATATAGGTTTTTCTGTTGTGCGGCCTGGTCAGTCCTGAAGAGAACGTATGTGGTTTCTCCCACGCAGTTGGCGCCCGCTGCGAGTAGTCGCAGACGTCCACGTGCACGGCATGTTAACTACGGACCATCTGTACATGACATGGACTGCCTACCGATGCCCGTACCTACTGGCGAAGCGCATCCGTTCTTCGATGCACCCGTGCAACTGCGAGGCCGTGTCAAAAGCGAAAAAACTGCGTCCCGGGCGCGGGGATCAGGTTTTTTCTGCAGGCGTCAGCCGACATGTTCAGGCGTGGACGCGAATGTTGGCGCGCTGGCAACAGCACACTGGCCGCTCGCCAGCGATTCCTTGACGGGACACGTAAAGAACGAAAGAGTACCTCGTGGCAAATGTGAGTGCTCTTTTTTACATAGACACACTCCACTATTCCCAGATCATACATGCAGTTAGGACATACGCGTGTTTTTCCTATTGTGGTGTGCGGAATCTACGTGTAGCTTCTGGAGGGGACCTGGGATTGCAGACGTTTCCACCTTTACGCTCTCGTTTGGATGCCTACGCCAAGATGGCTTGAGAGGTCTAACGTCTGCGTTCCCTGGGCGCCTGGGTCACCCGCCGCATGGAGCAGCGCGGTCGACTGCTAGAACCTGCTGAATGTTGCCTGGCTGCGGGGTAGATCAGAGCTTGGCTGCCAAGACCGCCTTTATCGCCTGGGCTGCTACTACTGCAGCGCACGTTACCGCCTTTCCAGCGTACGGCGCACCTTCTGCACCGTTTTTCCACTTCTTCTACACCAGCAGACGTCTGCGCCTCCAGATTGTCCTTCACGCGCTCCCGCCAAGCTGGTCTCATAGGCTTAGCATCTACAATTCCCTGGCGCTTGCGGCCAGGCCGCCGCATTGGCCACCCCCGACGTTGCTGCGTATGAGGAGCACTAGTGGTAGTAGTAGCTGTCACAATTCGCTGTATGTCGCCCGGTGGCAGACGCTCGATCAGAACCTGCCTGAGAGCACCGCGTGTGCCGCTACGCCTGTCCCTATTGCAATGATCGTTGTTGCGTTCTTGCCAAGTGCGAACTGGCTGCACCGTCTCCCTTCCCCGTGCCTCTCTTAATACCAGTCCGAACCCGTGTTGTTCCCTCGCCTGTTGCTCCTGTAACAAGTGCTGCGACGCGTGTGACCGCTGCTCTTTGTGCGGCAGTCCGTGGAGCAGCAGCCAAATCAAAAAGTACTATTTCGTCTGGCTTCTTCATTCTGCGCGGTGTAGAGATTGTGCTCCCCTCCCGGCGACGAATCTATGGATGTGGCCGCCACTAAGCTACACATTACAGCTGGTAGGCCTGTGCTGCTCCTCTCCATCTCCGGTGTCGCCTCCTCTTTTGAACGCATTTCCGCATCGCACGATTCTGACACTCTCTCGACTAGGTCCCGTGTTCTTGTTGTCATGGCAACGGCAGGTAATGCTGCTGCTGCGGCACGCGTCTCGCATGCGTCCTCCGATAAGAGCTCTGCTTCTAACACTTCGTTTGCACCAACTGCTGTTTGGGGTGCTGCCGTCTCATCAGCGAGTTCGTTTGTCGTAACTGAATGTGCGTTCGTCGTGCTCGGTGTTGTCCACTGCAGATCGGCATGGCATAACACAGCTGGAGGCGCCGCACCAAGAGGCATAGACGGACTTCGTTCAAAGTGACGAGCTGAACTACTGCTATCTGTTTCAGCTGCTGCCGGTGTGTTCTGGCAGACCGACTCTCTCTGTACGCCTCCTGGAGGTGAGACCGGGAGTGGGAGATTTCCTGTGTTCGAGGGAAACACTGTTGTCGCCGCTGTTTCGCACTGTGCTGCAGCACTCACTACAATGGCAGAGAGATCTGCAAGCGTTGTTGACTTTTCGTTTTCTGAAGCTGCACAGCGTTGCAAACCCACTGCACGCAATTCCTCTTTAGCGCAGGCAGCCCTGCTGAGCCCCAGCGCATGACCTCCACCGACGCTCTCACTGCTTCGGTAATTCCCCGCAACGACGAGAGCTGGTGCGTCTGCAAAAGTGTGAGGAGGACAGGAATGGCCAGGTGCTTTCGTGACGGTGGTTGTGGCTTTAGAGGAGCTCTCGCTCAGCTCTACACAAAATCCCAGAACGTCGCGCTTTTTGATCGCATTGCAGCATGCATCTAGTGCAATGGTGTCTTCACAGTGGAAGCCTGGAGTGTTTCGTATCGTTCCCGGCTGTGATCTGCCCGCAACGGATGAAACTGCGCCTTCTCCACATGTGAAGTCTGAGTAGCATGTTAAATATCCAGAAGTTGAACACGAGCTGCGGCCTTTGTCGCCGGCCTTACGGCTTCCATCTTCACCAAGAAAGTTGCCCTGTGTCTGATCGCCTCCTTTTAAGTGGACTGCCTCCTGCGCGCAGAGTCTCTCAATGACTGTTGTGCAGCGGCGAACGAAGCTTTGCTCGTCAGATGTTGACGCAGCACCACATTCTCCTGATCCGCTCGTTTTACTCGACATCTCCTCTCGCCCCGATGCTCTGTGGCACGCTGCAGGTGCACCAGCTGTTTCCCCAGATGATTCCAACATCTCAGAGTTAGACGGCAAATTTTCCTTTGTAGTAGGATGAGTAGAAGTGTTGCCCGCCACTGCGCTGCTGCGGCGACTCTGGCCTGACGTCTGCCTGGCTGTTGTACTGCTGCCGCGCAGATTGTCACAGTCAGTCTCCGACATATCTCTCCCGACAGTAACACTGAAGCTGCGGCAGTGCGTACGTGTGCCATTGCCTCTGCCACCGTGCCTACATTTGATGCTCCCTCCGGTTTTCTTGCCATTCGCGCTGCTGCTGCTTCTGGTAGCCGGTATGCTGTTGCTAGAGTATAACTCTAAATGGCAGCTCCCCCTGCGATGTCTGCGTTCTTTCTTCCCGGGGTGCAAGGCTCTTTCCACACGACTGGGCAATGTGTCTCTCCGATCCACTGTAGCGATTGGAGGCAACGCGCGGCGACGACTATCTCTGCTACGTGCTCTCCCAAATTTTGAAATTGTCCCGTCGACAAATTCGCATACTTCTGCGCAGGCGCGGTGGAAGGAGCTACCACGGCTGGATCGACGGTTCGCCGCATTCGCTTCTACCTCTGCAGCGACTTCCTCGTTTCCAATTGCCATCTCTTCTCGTTTCTCACTCTCTGTAAGAGCCGCAATGCTGGCACGGCGTGAGTAGTTCTGTGTCTCCGAGGTAGCTGCTGAATCATGAAACGATGCCTCTGGCCGCTCCCGCTGCATTCGCAGTGGTGAGTGGTGTTGTTGACTAGCCACCTGCTGCATAGTGTGCTGTTCAGCGTCGCTCTGTTGCGCGAGTTCCTGTGGCTGCTGGGTGTGTGGCGTACTCCGCCTGTCGACGAACATATCAGCCGGGTGTGCTCTTTGATCGGGAAGTGCACGCTGTAACCCTTGCATACGCACTTGGTCCGTTACGCCCGCAGACTCATGAAGTATCACTGGCTCCGTCGGCCCTGCTGCTGATGCTGCTACTGTTGCTGTTCGCGTGTAAGAAAGATATGCCTTCTGTGCACGTTCCGCTTTGCCTTGGGCGTTCTCGGTGGTTGTGGTCATAGGAGCTCCCGCAGTAGTCGCAGTGGACGCTGTTCTTGAGTTGGCTTCCTGCGGTGCTGCGCACGCTGCTTCCACTGTGGCCGGCTGTGAGTACAACTGTTCCAGTTGGTCTGCTGCTTTCGTGGCTGCTGTCTGCACTGATGCTCGCGCGTCTTCTGTCGCAGCTGTGGACGCGGCGGTGGCCGCTACTGCGGGCGCTAATCTGCTTGCTGCACCTGAGGCACACAGAGAAGGGACCTCGGAAGGTGTGGTGCACTCGGCCAGCCAGTGCGGCATGCTGTTGCTGTTGCATATTTCCTGCAGCGGCTGTGCTGGCAGCAGCTCCTCCGAGCTCAAGGATGCTGCAGGAGGAAAGGTGGCGACTAGGACACTAGACATCCAGCAGCAGCAGCTGCTGCTGCTGTTGTCGCCGTGAACGGATGCGCCAGCATTATGCTTCTTCCCCCTGCCAGGCGTGTAGGTGCCGCTGCTCTTGCTGCTGCAGCTGTTGTCGTGAGTAGAAGAGCCGACGGTATCCGTGTCTTTCTCCAGGCGCCTTTCAAGCCCTTCCTCTTTCTCATCACCGCTACTGAGGAGACGAGCAACCTCTGCAGCAGCAGCTTCGGCGGCTGCATCCACCGCTGCTTCTTCTCCTTCTTCGTCTTCTGGTTCCTTAGCCAGCAAGATCGATCCAGGAGCGCCGGTCCTTGTCAGGAGGTGAGCGGAAACGATGCCGCTGCGGTTCTTGGGCGAACAGCTGAGCATTCTTTTTGCTCCAGAAGGACAGCCCGGTGATGACGCTCGTGCTGTGGTATAGCTTGCGCACCTTGCAACTGCTGAGCTCCAATCGTGAATGCTATTACCTGATACAACGGAGGATGTGCAGCAGGCCGGGTGGCGACCTAGTGGCATCTGACGCGCGAGCGGAAGCTGCTGCAAGGGACCACTTTCCGAGATTGCCCCTTTGCCAGCGGTGAGAGCTGCTTCCTCTGGTGATGCCGTCCCGCGTGCAACTGCTAGTGCACCTCCTTTCGTAGCTGTTTCCTTTGCTGGATGTCCTCTTGCGTCTTTTACGACCGATGCCGCCACTGGACGATGTCCTGCCCGCTGTTCGACAGCTTCGGCGCTAGCAGCTGACATCGATGCACCTGCTTCTGTGCATGCTTGCGCCTCAGCTGGGACACCTTGTGTATCTGTGGCAGGCGTCGCTGCTGCGGGATCGTGGGCGATTGCAACGGTTCCCGGCGGAGCTCCTTCTTCCTGGAGACATTCGAAACACTGCAAAGCTGCGTCGGTGCCGCCTTGTTGCTTGTGCGTCTCCCAAGCACATGCCACAGTGGTCTCTTCCGCACAGCCGCTGAGTCTGTTCAAGAACTCCAGGATGCTGGAACCCAGACAGAGCCCTTCCTTTTCCTCCGCTGCTTCACAGAACAGTGGAGAGTTTGTGTATGTTTCATCAGGCGTGTCCGTGGCATCTTGGCTTCCCACAGCGTCGGTAGCCACTGCAACAGGAGCATCGGCACCCCTCATCGCCGCTCCAGGGTCTGCGTGTACTGCCACAGCGTCACCGGTGGCGGTTACTCGTCGCGATCCGGCAGGTGGGACTGGCGGACAGCGAGTGACTTGCGCTGAAGAAACAGCCTCTATAGACACTGCATCCGTCATGAAAGCACAACCTCTGCCCGGTGTGGTAGCACGCCTGGCACCTGCACCCCCAGCGGAGAGACAAAACCAAGCGGCCGGCCGAATATATTCGGAAGTGCACAGTTGGAGTAAAGCATCCGCGCCTAAGCAAGTGCCCTCCGTGTCATTGGGACATTCGGGTACTGCATGGTGCAGCAAAACGTGTGCTGGTAGTCCTTGTTGGTGGGCAAGCACAGGACGACGGTCGGGGAGCTCGAAATCGTCTCCGGTTTTTTCTAAACGTACGGGACTCTTGCTGTCACAGTGCTCACTAGGAATTCTTGGGCGCAGCCCGTCCGCGGCTGGCTGCTGATGATCTACCTGTGTCTGCTGATTTTGCGACTTCGGGTTCATATCCTCGTCTCGACGATCCTGTCCAGCGCGGTCCTGCTTTTGCTCGAGTGAATATTCCGGTACAGCATTGTTGTGTCGCGGTTGGTCAACCGTATACTTCTGTCCCTGAGCCAAAATGTGATGCTGAAGCAGTTCTGAGCGGCCCTGCACCCCTGGCTCGCCTTGGTGCATCTCCTGTCCGCGGCTGTACATAAGAGAATGCCTGTGCAAGAGACGATTGTCGCAAGCGTATATGAACGGATTCGACAGCTGCTGGCTGGTAGCGTCGTGACTGTCAATTTCCGATGGCTCCTCTGCTGACAGCAGACCAGAGGCAGCTGGTAGGCTGGACAGGGAGCCTTCTGTACTGCGGACGGCGCAATTTGCCGGGGGCGCATGTGGGTCAGCCCTCTCCCCCTCACACGAAAAGTGGATTTGCTCCTGCTGCTGCGTGGTCCGTACATCTTGAAGAGACTTAGTGGCTACACAGGGAACGTACGGCTTGTGAACGTGGTCACTGATGGCATGCTGGCGCTTCTGCGAGATGCTGTACACCCCTGCGGAGGCCGCGTATGCAGCGGCACCGCCAGCGTTAGGACTTGCCACCTGCTGCTGCCGGTGCATAATGTGCTCCGATTGTTGACGCTGGAAGCCGGCAGCGGACACCCACTGCTGATTCACGACCTCCTGGGGTTGCCGTCCACCTATTTGCTGCAGCTTGTCCTGCGTGCAGACCACATTGTTTCCCTCGCAGCAGTGCGGAGGTTGCCCAGTCCCCTTGTGAGCGAAACCTACAGGCTGCTTTGAAACGGATACGCTGCTTTCATTTAGTGGGACTTTGTCACCCTCATGTGCCGCACTAGCTACGAGTACTTGATTCTTGCCATCACGTTTCTGGCACTCGGAGAAAAGGTCTTCACCGGTGTTGGGTACGCCAGCGCTGTTGATGATGCCTTCACGTATAGTCAGCGTTTGCTGCTGCAGCTCTTGCCGCCGCTGCTGTTCTTCTCGCTGTTGAGCGCGGTGCCGCTTCTGTAGACATCTCAAGAGAAGGAGCTCACGCTCTCTTCGATGCTGGCACTGCCGGTCCAGCTGCTGCGATTTCTCCGCCTCCTGGTCCTTCGGCGGCAGGTTATTCTGCTGCAGCGGCACTAACGACAGGGCATGTGCCTGTGGCATTGGCGGAGGATCTCTTCGCAGCATACAGGCATCTGTTCCGGCCGCCGCAGTGGGCGGGGTCGCGACCATTCGCTTTCCTTCTTCACTCTGCTGCCGAGACTGCTGCTGTTCATGTTGCTCCCACCTCGCCAGAGTCTCACCTTGCTGCTGCTGGCTGTGTCCCGCGGTGGCTTTTATTACGGCCGACAATGGTTCTAGAGTTCCTGCCGCGATACCTGGAGGTGCAAGTAGCTCTGAGCCGTCTCTTTGAACTTCTCCGTCCATGATCTGCTGCTGCGGGGCCCTGCTGGAATGAGCTTCGTGTGGCACGCCGCGTGGTTGTCCATTCTCTATGTAGTAAGGACTTCCCTCCTGCTTCGACGTCACTGCCTGTTTCTGCTCTAGCTTGTGGTCTAGGGACTGCGCCTGCGGTTGCTGCTGTTGGCGGCCTGACTGCTGCTGCGGCGCCACCGGTGTCGCTTGGTTTCCAGTAACGGCCTGCTGCTGCGGAGGTCCGTGACGCTCGTGCAAAAGTTTTAGCTGCTGCAAAAGCTGCCGCTGAAGTTCCGGTAATTTCGTCATGTCTTGCACAGTTGCTTCCTTGTGCGCGGCTGCGTCTCCACTACGCACGACACTCTTTCTCCCTGTCTTGCCCGCTGCCGTGACCAGTGCAGTCAAAACAGATACGAAGGCAGCCGTGCTGCAAGTGTGTGCCGCTGACGTACCCTTTTCGCAGAAGACAGGGTTCGCATTGCTGCCCGCGCTGCTGCCGCCGCTGCTATCCGTGCTGCTGCTGCTACTGCTGCTGCTGCTAGTACTGTTCTCTTTTGTGCTGGGCGCCTCCTTCTTCCCCCCGCCCCTGTCCGCAGCGGATGCAGCAGTGCTGGCTGTTCTGCTAATATTGCTGTGTTCCTGCTCGTTGCTTCCGCTGTTGCGGACTGTGCCTCCTCTGCCGCGCGGCGAGCGGCTTCCCCTGGTGCCAGCACTTCTAGTACGGCGGGCGCCGCTCTGCAATCTGCTTGTGGTGCTGGGTGCTGTCATCAGCGCGCCGGATGCACCGCAACAGCTCGCGAGTGCTGGGGCGGGTGCATGGTCCCTTCTTTCGTAGTTGGCCGCTGCCGCACGCTTGCTGGTTGCGGGGCTGGCCGGCAAACAGTGTGCGGACCCATAAGAGATCATTTTATCCAGCGACACTGGCTCTTGCATAACAGCGGCTGTGTGTTGTTCTGACAACTTTGCTACAGTTGGCGCAGTGTCTGAGATGGTAAGCGATATTACAGGTCTTGGCGGTGCTGCAAAACTGCTTTCAGCTGCTGAGCTACATTCTGCCGTTGTGTGACGCCGAGACAAAACGTCTGCCGCTGAACGAGTCACAGGGGAGGTCGTTGAAGGAAGTGCTGCTGAGCAGGGACGCTTCGTTGCGGACAGGTTCGGACTTGGTGACTCTTGCATATCACACAGTGTCAAATATACGGACGAAGTAGGAGTTGTAGTTGGTAGCAGGCTTGAGCTTCGTGACCCTGGAACAGAGGACTGTGCCGGAGAAATAGGTGAGGTAGTAGTTGCAGGTGTCTGCAGGCTTACACCCCGTGAATCTGGCAGGCTCGAACTTCGTGACTCTGGTGTAAGGAACAGTGCAAAAGACGCAGATGAAGTAAAAGTTGCAGTTTTCTGCAGGGTTGAGGCCCATGAATCTGGCAGGTTAGACAACGTCGGAGATCCACAGGCAGTAGTCGACGCAGGTGCTAGCACCGTCTGCTCCTCATTTGCTGGCTTTACACTCTTCGTTGCTGACGGCAGCGGCGGGACTAGGGCTTCTTGCCCGGCTGACGCAGAACAGACACCGTGGCTGTGTTCTACATCGAGACTGTTAGGTGAAAAGCGCACGTTATCGGGCACAAACACCCGCCATGCATTTTGAAGCTGCTGGAGCGGAAGTGCACAAGGATTCTGCGCCTCCTGGAGTATCTCCACATAACAGCGGCCCTCACAATCGTGCGACTGCCCTTTATTGGGGGCGGGAGCGTCCACAGACAATCTATCTGTTTCCTTCTGTTCTCGCCCCGCACCCTCCGTTGTCGGCCGCTGCCGAGGGTGCTGTTCGTGATGCTGCGAATGGTGCGGTCCGGGGTGTTCTTCTCTGGCGTGCTGCTCTAGGGAATAACGGTGGAGGGTTTGCGCCTGCTGGTGGTGGCCGGAGGGGCCTGCCTGCTGCTGGTGCTCACTTTCCTGCTGTGGTTCCTGGTGGGGGCGCGCTGCTTCTCCCTCCAATACAGTGTTCGGCTCTCCTGAGGCCCGCCTCTCTGTAGTCGTCGGTCTGGCGAGTAGCGGCTGTTGCTGTAGAGCAGGGGCGGCATCGGCACACCAGGCCGCATACGGAACACAGGGAGCAGGACAGACGTGTGCTGATCGCGGAGGTGAAATGTTAGAGGTACGTGCTGCGCCGGGTTCTGCGAGCTGCCCGCCTTCTGAGCTCCGTTGTTCTCGAGGCTGCAACGCTGCTGAAGCTTCAAGACACGCATCCGGTGGCGTGCTGGTAGCTTCGCTGCGGCTACCGACAGGGCCGCCGCTGTCGCTTCGGTTGCCTTTGAAAAATGCAGAACTGCAGGAGTCCGCCGCTATCAGAGACTGTTCTCCGCCGGCGCGCACGCCAGCGGCTTGTAAAAGCTGCTGCAGGGCCGGCGTCACCTGCCTCCCTAGCTGTTGCGAAAAACGTCTTGCGCACCCCCTGGATACGGCTGAAGAGGTTGGTGGGAGTCCACAACCAGCTGCTGTCCCGAGGTGCCTCCCTGCTGGCCCTGCCGCAGTGCAAGCAACTTCTGTAAATCCTGCTGCTGCTGCCTTTCTTCCTCCTCGCTGCTGCTGCCCCTGCTGCACGGGGAAGGTCTGTCCAGCGCTGAGTTGCTCTCAAGCTGCGGATTACCGCTGCAGTAGGTCTTTTCTTTGAAAATCCGTGCAACGTCTGCATTCGAGCAACGTCCTCTGCATGCAACTGTGCCTCTCTGAACGTCACAGGCACTGTGCACACCGGGCTGTGCCGGTGGTAGTGACGACGCTGCAGCTTCAGTTGCTGTCGCGGGCGGCCCTCCGCTAGTTGCTATGGCCACTGGTTCCGGTGTCTCGGGTTCTGCTCTTGCTGACGCTGCTTCCGGCGCTACCGTTGCTCCTGCGTGTCCCGCAGCGTCTTTCCCGGACGCGGAACCTGATGCTGTCGTCACAGCTAACGTACGCGCGTCAGCTGCGAGCGACATGTTACCCGCTCCGCTTTCAACTTGTCTCGCCGCACGGTCGGATTCAGCTGATGCATGCGCTCCGGCTTCTGCTGGCAGTAACTGGTAGCTGCCGCTGCCATCTGGACTGCGGGTACATTTGATTGGCACCTGCAGCGCCGCAAGGGTATCGCTTTTTGTCGCGCAACTAGCACGGCCTACTGACAGCCCATCTGACGCCTGGGAAGGAGTGTGGGCAGCGTTTTCGCACAGTTGTTCTTGGCTCGCCTGGTCTCGGTGTCCCTCCGCAGCCCTTCGCTGTTGCCCGGGCTCCTCCATTTGTACCCGGGGAGGCGAAGGACTGTTGGCGGCTTGGTCTTGCTGCCGTGGGTGTGGGGGGTTTACGTGCTGCTCCTTCGAGGGCGCCAGCTGCTTCTGCGGCTGTGCGGCGAAACGTAACTCAATGTCGCCGCCGAGGCGGGGCGAGCTGGGGTGGTCTGTACCTGTGCCGCTGCTGTTACTGCTGCTCCCTTGCTCAGTGGCTGTGCCGCAGGTGCTCAGGTTGTCTTTAGGCACGGGGAACGGTTGACACGGCTGCAGCTGGGGAGGGGCGGCCGAGTTCATAGACGCCGAAGAGTGGCTCTGGATGCTTGTGGCGGCCTGAACTAGGCTCTCGCTGTTTTGACTGCAGCTTTGTCCGATACTAGCAGTAGCGGCGGAATGAGGCTGCAGCTGCAGGGGGACTGGTAAGCCATAGTCCTGAGCAAGTTTGTGCGAGACTGCACGGCAGACATCTAGCACTGATTCGCCCGTCGCAATGAAGGGCCGTAATCGGAGGAACATGCTCTCAACTTCTGTAGACGCTACAGCTGAGGACACGAAACAAGGACAGCAACTGCCTCTGCCGGCTGCTGCTGCTGCTATTGGGCTACCTGTAGTCATGCAGTACATCTGCCTGCAGCAACAGCTCGTACAAGCGGAGCCATCGGACTTGGCACTACTGTCGCTGCTGCATGTCGAAGAGGCTTTACCTGCTACCAACTCCGCCGCAGATGTTGGACACTGCGTCAAGCCTCCTTTGCCACCACCAGTGGTTGGTACGCCGTTAGCCACTACCCGCATGTGTTGCACATCCGCTGCTTGTGCCTGTCTAGGTGGTGCAGCAGGTGTGCCCCTGCAGCACACGTGACTGGTGTGACTGCAGCTGGCTGCCATTACGTGCCTCGGCTGTGACTGCGAGTGCGGAGCACGATCACCAACGTCCGCCCCGACGTTGCCGTGGGTTCTTGGGAGAAGTGCCTGATGATCCGCACACGTCCCGGCCGGTGCGATATATGATGGACTTTGACGTGAACAGCAACAACAACAGCAGGACCGAGGTGACAGAGAGAGAGACGCGGAAGGAGAAGAGGACGACGAGGGGATGGACAGGGAAGATGAAGAGAGAGAGGACGTCAGGCCTACTTTCTTGAATTGGACTTTTAGCTGCTGGTCGAGAACGACAAGGGCAGTTTTCTTATGCTGCACCAGCTCGTACGCGGCCTGTAGAGTCGAGAGTTCTACGAAGGCGTACGGCTGCATGTTGCTGCGCTCCCGCATTTCAACTGCGAGGACGCACCCATTCTCCAGCACAAGGTCTATTGCTGACTTCAAGGCCTCCTTGGATGTTCCTGGCACGATATTTGCGACGTACACGCTGCGGCCATGGACTGTGTCAGGCCGATCTGCTGTACTTGCAGCGCGTTCGCGGGCTGTTACTGGACCGCTGCTGGTGCTGCCTTGTTGTTCCGACTGTAACGAGAGTGAACGTCTTGGCGTTAAAGACAAGTCGGCGGGGCTTGTCGAGGCAGAAGCGGCCGATGCGGAGGCAAGCAATATAGCTGGTGTGGCGTCTCCATGCTCGAGATCCTCTACTAGGCCCTGCTGAGACGGTGGAGTAGGCCCTCGGCTGTTTGCGCTTGGAGGGTCGCCGCCTTGGTTGCGACACAAAGAGGAGTCCAGAGGCATTTTAACACCTAGCAGCCGCTCCAGAGCCTGTCGTACCGTCCGCTGCGACAAGTGCCAACAGCTTAACAAAAAGACAAAGTCGAGTACTCAGCAGGAACAGGACCGGCTGCTCGTCTAGGAGGCCCAGCATAGATCTGTGTCTATCTGTCTACCTGTCTATCTATCTACCTATATATATAGGTACGCATACAAACGTATATGCGTATATGAACACAGATATGCATTTACGCTGTAGAGAAAACGACGGCTGGAGTTAAGGGAATTCAAACCAATGTGCATGGTCAGCCAGTTAGCAAACAAGAAAGATAGTGGAGACATTCTTGCGGAGATGTGAAACCAACAACTGCACGAAGTACATATAGGAGCAATTTACCAGGTGCACGCGGAGGAGCAAGGTTCAGCACCGGAGGAACTGGAGGCGATACAAGCGCAGCATGGCAGTGGCCACAATTGGTTGGCTCGCGCCCATGCCACGGGCAGCAGTACTACTTTGTTTAAGCAGTAGACTGAAAGTTAGGAACCGGGCGGCACATAAGTAGTTGTTATAGATGTGAGATAGCGGATTCATCGGTGAGCCACGAACTGCGAAGGCTGCAAGTATTGGTAGGCCGCACGCGAGTCGGAGATCGATGAGGGTCCGATTCGGCACGTCTCAACGATGAGAGACAGGAGTGCGTGGCTCGATGAAGGCCACACACCATAGGGGACTTCCATACTCCCCATATGGTATGTGTCCGAGGTCCACTCATTACTGTTCAAGACGTTGTAGTTAGAAGCCCATGGCTTAATGTTCCCGCACAGGCATAGGGTGCGGCAGTTGCAGTGCATATGCCCACAAGATGCGCTGCTCTGCATCGCCCCTGTCCTGTCTCTTTTGCTCTCTCCAGTGAAGATGGATATCCAGTAACAGCATGGGAACTGTTGCAGCAGCAGGAGCAGCATCAGCGCAGGACCTATAAGCTGCTGCGGAAAGAGGAAACTCACCCGAATACACTCGTTGACGGAGATGCCCGTGTGACATTCGAAGCAGAAGCGACACGGCTGAAGCAGCAGCGCACAAGCAGGAGAGATATCGCAGCACGCAGATGACAGCTGAGGCGATCAGAACCGGCTACAGGAGAGAATAAGCATCATTTATGTATGTGAGCATAATCACTAAGACTTTGTAAACAATATGCGAGCAATGCTATTCATTGCCAGGATTGTGTTGTCACGGGAGCACCAGTATCAACAGCAGCAGCCGGAGAAGAATAATAATAAGAAGATGATGCCTTAGGAGTACCGCGGAGAGGAGCAGCACAAGCGGCATGCAGCGCTAGCAACACAGAAACCCCAGCAGCAGATTGGGGTCGCAGGCCCGCCTGACAACCCAGCGAAAGCCACCCTGGAGAAAACGCTCTTGCTGTGAGACCAGCGCATCACCTGTATCCGCAAAAGCACGGAGTAGAGAGGCAACCCACCAACCAGGCGAGGGTACTCTGGGGGGACGGCGGGGCAATCTGGCTACGCTGCCATAGAGCAGAACTCGGTAGACGCTACGCGCAAGCCTCTGGGAGCTCTACCACACGGTGCGGCTTTACAACCTCAGCAATTTTACAACGCAGGGCGGCACTACAGGACGTCGGCAAAAATCTTCAAAACTTTTTTAGGGTGTGACTGCCCCGACTTCAGTTGACAGCAATTTCGGGGCCGCGTTCTTAATAACAGAGGCTGCACAGCGTGTTGGCGCCAGGCTAGATTCGTCTATACCGTCACATGCGGAACAACAGGACGAACGTTGCGACCGCACGCAAAGGCCGTAGCCGCAGGATTCAGGGTGCGGGCCTTCTCTTAGTAGTATTACGTTGGCTTCCTGATCTGGCGGCTGCGTAGGCTCTCTCTGCTTTGTTTTGTGTTCGTGCTCGTGCTCTTATATGCACGTAGGGACAAAGAAGATGATGACACACTTCTGGAAAACGAGAAGAGGTCCCCCGGCGCCCCGCTCACGCCAAAGAAATATGTGGACACATACATGAACACATATGCAGGCGTATCACCATACACAACGTACCGCCGGCACACTCACCAGCGCAAGCATGTGTATGTGCACACCATCCTGTGTTTTGTCACACGCCTTGTCCGTAGGAAGTTCACGGACGCTGCCGCAGACGCAGGCTGCAAAGGCGTCCGCGCCAATAGCGAGACCCACCTATTCTGCTTGCGGAATGCACTGCTTGGATGCCAGTGCTGCTTACGAGCCAGACATATAGACGTGGTATACCGCCTTCTTGGATAGCGGCGGTAGCTGCTGTGAAGCCACACTGCCTCATTTGAACGCGAATGCGTATGCCTTACCATCGGACAGTGTTCGGCGCGATGAGAAGAGCGGTGGCAATTGGGACAGACGAATTCGCCGAAAGGGCAGTTGGTGATTTTGTGTTCCATGGAGTCGCAAGAAAGACATAACGTAGCTGCACACATTCAGAGCAACCAGCGTGCACCGAAGACGCGCAGCACTGAGCAGTTGTAACACCTAGTGATTCTGCCTTTGCCACCTTCGGAGCTGCAGCCTCACAGCCCGTAAAATCTCATACCAAGACTGGCGAAGATTGTTCAGCTGCGGGGACGAATACACGCACAGAGAGCGCGACGAGGACTGCAGCAACCCTAATATCGACAGGCCACGAGGCGCGGCGGTAAAGAGGCGGCGGCTATACGCAAGGAAAGCACAAGTAACATGATGTGATGCGGGCGCGTGCAAGCACCAGAAGAGGGGCGTGGCATACTTGAGGCTGCAAAGGTCAGAGACCCTGTTGCACATGTTTCTACCAAGTTCCTGCATGCTAGTATTGTACCAGGAGTACGCCGCAGGCAATATTGTATCTAGTGGCGGGCACCCGGATTAGAAAGCATGGGCCTGGAAACAGAACGGGCGAGGGTCTCAACCCACCAGTCTGTGCTTGACTACCCGTGCCTTACATGACCTGATGACAGTGAATGTGGATTCTAATTGCCCTTTTACGACAATGACACATATGTGGACACGCATTCCACAAGAAGGACGACTATACATACACAGGTTCGTGCTTGACTATTTGAGCACGTGTGAACGGGCGTCCGGACTAGAAAGCGGGCCCCATAGATACTTACACTTTGCGTAGGCTTCGACCATTTCAAAACGGGACAGTCGCAGCGGTCGCGACTCCTTTTGAGCGAGAACCCTTCGCACTTGCCACCAGTTGGCAGCAGGGTTTATCCAAAGGGGAGCAGCCCCAGAGGGCCACCCATCAATTTCTTCCTTATGATGCAAGGCATGCACCTCAGTGGGGGGCGTGCGTATGGCTTGCTGACCGCAGGAGAGCGATGAAGGTGCTCTGGAATGCAACTGACTTCCGCACTGCTGCTGCAGGGGGGAGATGCTGCGGCGGATGGTGAAACTTCTGGACACTGACCTGGTGCTGGTAAAACGGCGGCAAAGGATACTGCTGCTGAGCTAGGTACGGGAGAAGTTGTTGCACATGCTGCGGTCTCTGGTAAATTAGCTGCGGCTGCGTGTAATGCCTGTTGATGGGCAGTTTGGAGCAGTGGGGGCGGCGGCTGGTTCTCGAGTATTAACGGCGGCTGAGGCACACTGAGCGAATATCGCTGCTGCAGGCCCTGAGGGGCATACACGTGCTGCTGGTAAGAGACACGCTGCAGGGGGTGCTGCTGGTGTATCTGCTGCTCATTCTGCAACCGGTGGTGGTGGTGATTCACGCCGTAGCGCTGCTCGTGATGGCGCTGAAGATGGCGATGCAGCGGGTGGTATGATGGCGGGAGCGAGGAGGCCGAAAATGGATCAGAAGAGCAAAGCGCCCAAGAAAAATGGTTGACACTCCTCCCTGTGCTGTTGGTGTCCTGGTCCCTGCACTGGCCGCTGCGCCGCGCTTTGCTGGAGCTGCTGCTGGTGATGCTGGCCAGCGTGATGGTGAGACTGCCCACTGCGCTGGCCATTGTACATGGTGGACACGCGAGTACTGAGGAGGCTGAGGCCTGTCTTGAGTTCGCTGTTGCTGCTGTTTCAGGGAGTGTTGATCTTTTACAAAGTGCCGATGGCTGTGTTGCACGGATTGCAGTGGCTGGAAGGGCGGCATACACCGCTGCTGCCGAGTGTCAGGCTGCCGAAGCCACTGCCAGTTGTGCACGCTGTCCTGCTGCAATTCCACGCGTCGTAAGTTCTGCCGTAATTCGTCCTCCTCTGCGCGCGAGACACTGCCCGGTGGCGTACTCGATACAGCGGAAAGCCTTGATGCGCCACCAGGCGGTTCGCGTGCGAGGCAGTCACCGTGCGTTCGACGAAAGGAGCACTCGATTACGCCTGGTGATACAGAGTACGGAGGATGCGCTGTCGGAGTCGGTAGCACCGTTGCTGTTTTGCCGGACTGTCCACTTCCAGCTGCTGCCACAGAAGGCTGCCTCCATGGTCGGTGTGTATAGTAACAGTTGTCGTGTCGCTCGCTGACTCCAGTGCTTCCGCCGACGGTCATGCGGACTGTTCCGACGCTTTCGCTGCCGGTACTTCGCAGCAGTACCAAACCGCCGTCACCTACGCCAGTTCTACAGTAGACGTTGTTGCCGACGTCGCTGCGACCTTCAGAGCAGCGGGCACTTTTGTTTCAAATCGCTGTTCTTACTGTTGCCGCAGCTCTGAAGCTGGCTCCTCTCAGGCTCCTCTGCAGTTGTCCTCCCGACCTGCCGGCCCCCGCTATGACTGGCACTAGAGGGCCGCAGGCCTCCTGTGTTACCCGCTGAGTCTCGGAGAGAGAGAAGAGCCGCAGTTTCTTTCAGTGCTACTGCAGTGGCAATATCAGACCTTGACGTTTGCACCATAACCCGTCCGCGCTCTACGACTCCCCGTTGCCTTGGGAGCCGGCATCCCTGTCGGGCCTTTCGTGGCTGCTGCAGCTGCCGGGGTTGTCGACGCTGAAGGAACTTCTGCAGCGGGCGGCGAATTATAACCATCTACCGTGGCGGGTACAAGTGTCGCCGCTGCTGCCGCCTCCACCGCTTTATTTTTTGTCTCCTGGGCTGCTAGAACCTGGGTGTCTGCAGGACTCTCCCATTCTGCTGTCGAACAGGCTCCACTTATTGAAGGCTCGCCCCAGCAGCCTGCACCCCGGCCGACGCTGCTCACATGTGCGTGCAGAGCCAGGTAGGAGAGCAGAAGTAGGCTGAAGAGCCTGAGCGTTTCGATAAGCGCCGCTGCTTGTGCTTGCAACTGTCAGCAGAGCTGTGCCTTGTTGGGGCTACCGCTGCTTGTTGGCGTCCCAGGTGCTTGTCTTCCTCCTCTTCTGCCAACAAAATTCTCCTAGTCTCAGCCTCATGCTGCTGCGCAGCAGATGCCACTTCAGCAGGGGGACGGCAAAGAAGCACCTGCACCCGTCACTTCAGTACCCAGGTGAGTATCATGATGGATAGAATCACTAAGGGCCGGGGTAGGAGCTGATGGACCGCACGCTGGTACCGCAACAACAGAAGCAGACAAGCCCGCGCTGCCTGTGGCAGGAACTGACGCCGTCCACGAGAGATCTGCGATCCCTGCGAAGGTGGCGGCCGTGGCAGCTTCAACACCACCAACAGGAGCCTCTGGTGGCGCAGCAGCTATTGGCCCCTGTCGTGAGCACACGCCCCGCTGAGTCGGGTTTTGTGCTGAGAAGCTGAGTGCCCATATACGCCCACAAAAGCGTGTGCCACGCTATTTCCGCTCCTCCAGTTTCCTGCAGCCTGGATTCGTGGAAGTACCTCATGTGCATAAGGGACGTTTTCAGACCGTAGGTCGTCGCGTGTCTGGAGGCTATTACTGTGCTGCTCGCGCAACCGTTCCTCCTTGGAACACAGCCCCGCCGTCGTTGGCTCTGCACGGGGTGGCGGCGCGGCATTAGACAGGAGTGTCTTTGCTGGGGCTACGGTAAGTGGGTCTGCTCCCCCCGCAGACATCTCGCTGCAGCAACGCGAACTGTGCACGAGGCTGCTGTGGCTTCACACACAAGAGGCCACCTGCGGCTGGGCTCGCTGCCACGTCCGTTGCTGCACTGCGGGTGTGAAGAAACGTGACCTTCTCAGCGGCTCCTGCGGAGCAGTCCAAGGGATTCATGTACTCCCGACGGGCTTGTGGTCCTAACCGATGCAAATCTGCAGAAAGCACCGCTGTCGCTGCCGCTGCCTCTGTGCGTTCCAGGGCGCGGCGGCCTGTCTGTGTCACCGTTGGTGTTGAATCTGTGACGGCGGAGGCTGCCGGCGCTCCTGCACGGTGTATGCGCTCCAGAGCCGGTGAAAGCGTTCCGTCGGACACCAGGGAACGAGGATGCCAACGAGGGGAGAGGAGGTCGCTGCAGTTGAAGCAGAGGAGAGAGTGGAGCAGCCGCCGACAGGAGACTGCAGCGCAAACCGCAGCTGGTGAGGTAAATCCCGTAGAGCTGCGGGGGGGGGGCCAGCTGAATCAGGAAACAGGGAAGGCGCATTACAATGAACAACGGTGGAGGCGCCAAAGGCACCACAGGTCGCATGTACCTTGATAACGAGAACCACTGTATAAGACGGAAGTGCCGGAGTGCACCGCATTAGACGTAGGTGCCGGAGTGCACTTCCGTAATATTGATGGGCTGTGTAGGGAAGTGACAGAAAGCGACACAGACCAGCAACGGACAGGCAGGATCTATACGATGCGCCTTTGTCACGATCCAGTCTCATATACACCTCACCTAGCCGGCTGCTGCTGGTGGCCCCTGCGGCATCGCTGCTACAGTGAAGGGAGGAGACGTACCTTTAGCGCGGCAGGGTGTGGTGTGCGCTTTGCTCTTGTCTGGTGTTCACGTACTCGCTACGCGTAAAGACAGACGGACTGGTACTAGCTGTCGACGTGAGGCTCCCACGGTCGCGCCCCGCTGCAAAAAGGCGCCAGCTTGCGTTAGGCTGGGTCTGGGGGAGGAGGCGAGCATTTCAGCACATCTCTAAGCGTGCCCTCTACACACGACCGTGCAGCACTCATCCTCATTTACCTTGGGTCGCCACTTGCCACCTCTTCCGTGGCGGAATACTACTACACTTAGACCTAAGTGGGTGCGTGCATACGCGCACGGGGCCGAATGTAGCTGCTAGTACAGACGCGGATCTATTTCCCTCTCGCGCGCCCCCCCCCGCGTGGTTAGCTTCATAAGGGGCCCCCATCTATCATTATGCGGAACGCATCCGTTTCCTCCCCCGAAGCTTATCGGTGACCATGCATCGGTTACAGAAAAAATTTTTCGTGATCCCCGTTGTGACAATACATGAAAGCTGAGCTCAGAGTGTCAACAGAGGAGACGGACAGTAATGCAGCCTTACTCTACGTCCAATCAGAGGGGCACCGCCGCTGCACGTCGCGCCTTACTTCTTGTACACAGAACGATAGGCGGAGGCACATTCTCGAACATGAACGCATGCAGCTGCGTCCACCAGCACAGAACTACGAATACGGCGTCGTAACGGCGTTCGATGAGTGGCGCTGGAACATGTTTTTCCCAGGGAAGTATGTGCAGCAGGTTCTGCCGCAGTTGTCTGTATTGACAGATTCTGTACATCCTGGTGGTGGTCCGTCTGCGCTCAGAGACCACCTTCTGCGTGAGGTACGATTGCTCTACGCGGTGAAAGGGGCGCTAGGGGGAGTTGCACACGGACAGTCTAACAAAACGCACTAGTACTTTAGGACCTCCACGTGTGCGTTAGCCTCTGCGTCTGTAAGGGGGGTCAGTGTGCACGGCTGCAAGCGGCCAATGTGACATACTCGAGCTGGCAGCAATTCCTGCTGCTGCTGCTGGAATTGACTTGACGAAAGCCGGTCTGGTGCTATCACGGTCTTCTCCCGCCCTGCTGGCCGCGATAGCGGAAGTGCCTGGCCAAAAGCTGACTTCGTCTTGAGCGGCAAGGGCAATGGGCAGGAGCTCTGGGGGGTGTTGCTGCCGCGTAGGCATTGTCTGATATAGTGCTTCCAGCGCAGAAAAAGCAGGAGCAAGCTTCCCGGACGCTCCTCTTGATGTGTCGTCCCTCCGTCCGTTCATTCGTCGTCTCTCCATTCTGCGCGAGAGACGCGCTCCTCTCGTCGGCCCCGACTTCTGATGCTGCTGAGGGCCTGCTTCGTGTTCATGTCCTTAGTACCTATTCATCGTGCTTTTGCGCTGCTACACACTGATTATCGGTTTTGGCGCCGGGTATGCTTGCGCGTCCACCGGTCGCCTCGAGCTTCACTATTGCATCAGCAACATTTCCTTAGCCTGCAGCGCTTTTTCTGCTCTCAACGCGAACATGCAGGAAGCCAGGGCGACTTCGTGAGACTTCACTTCACGATGGATGCGCGTACGTGTGTCTGCTTGGCGCTTGCAATAGGTCTGATTTGCACCAATAGCTGGCGCCGTCCCTCGACAACGTCTAGCCTCCGTGTGCGCCTGACTCCCCTGTCTTGTTGCTGCCCCCTTGTATTTCCCTTGGGGTGCTATCACACGCGCGCTGCCGCTGAGCGCCTTGTGCTTCTTGGCCGTCCCCAATTTGGGTTTTGGCTCCCTCGCTGCAGCCTGCCCTCTTTACACTATAGAATACTGCCGCCGGCTTCGCAGCGACTTCTTTAGCTGCCGCACTCACGCGGCCCCTAAGGTGAGAGACTAGAGGTAGATGTGTCAAGGCACAGTGGAAGTGCCGGCCAAGTGCGTGGAAGGATAAGCTGACAAGTGTCTAGCGGATTTCAAGTGCGCGCACACAGGCCTGTACGCGGCCGCGAGATCAAGGAAAGACAGTACGTATGACGACAGCAGGTGAAGAAGAGGCATTGTTGTTCGGGCATCAGCGGATGGAGGGCTGTTGGTGCTCAGACGCGCGCCAGAGGGAACCCGAACAAGGAACAGATATATTGCGCCTAGGAGGCATACGTGCTCGCGACCACACCATACGCAAATATCTTGAAGTGTAGGCCGGCCGGCAGAAGAGCGGCTCCTATAGTATCGTGTGCTTCGCCCTATCATGCTCGTTTCGTTTTCATGTGTGCCGTCGAAGCCGCCTGGCTGGAGGCGCATACATTCTGCGCGTAAAGACGGGGCCTGACTCTGTATGTAGCCACGCGAAGGCGAGTGGCGGGCGCGCCTGGTGCCCTCGGACACGGTGCAGCGAGGTCTCTGCGCGGAAACGCGTGCATGTGCGCTACGCAGTCTCTTCACGTCATGCGAGTGACCTCCTCGATAATCAAAAAAACAGCTTGCATGCGCAGGAGACAAGATACAAGAGAGGAAGACCTCGTATGCAGACCCCAGGGATGCGTGCATTCGAAGGCTCCGTCAGCCAGGCCATATAAAACAAGGGATACGCCGTCTCCTTGTTCGGACTGCAGCGTCAAAAATTCGGCGGCGAGGCTTCCGTGCGCTGCAGCAGCGGCCGACGACTCACACGATGCCCGGTCACCTCATCGAGCGCCGCTGCTGGAGGGGGGATCGTAGTGTATATACCGGTAGGTACAGAAGCAGACAGAGGGAGGGGTCGCGGACGCCGAAGCGGTCTACGTGGAAGTGCGGCAGGTGGTCGAGGCGCCGGTGGTTCGTGCGGCGGGACGCGTGGAGACACCGAGACACGCTCGTCAACAACGGCACCGAGCGAGGCACACGCTGAGACGAGACCGGAGCGGCAGATGCTCCAGCACGTGCGGGGAAGCTGGCTTTACAGGGCACTAGGGTCGATGCATTCTATCGTCGTCCCCGAGCTGGCTGGGGACTGCCTGTCACGCTTACTCCCCAGGAGTCAACGTGGCGAGGCGTGTCTACCTTTTGACTAGCAGGTCACGCTGTGTTCTACAGTCGGCGGCCGGCGGGCAGCGGCACCAGCAGTACTCCAGATAGCGCGTGATAGCCACGTGGACGCGGTCGTTAACCGGCGGCCCGGGCCGCCTGTGCAGGTGCCTGCACCTAACAACAGCCAAAATAGCGGGGCTTTTCCGAAGAACCGCCAGCAAGGTGGGCTGTCAGCAAGACAAACGAGCTGCCTGATGTCATGGTGGCTTTACCTGCCGCACATGGCATAGCGACAGCGAGGCGCAGGCGGTCGGTGCCCGGCTGCTCCGGCCGCCTACGAGCCTTCGGCATCTGCGGCCCACCACAAACGCGTTACCGAAGGCCAGCCTCAAGCGCGCAGGCGGTCGCGCTCAGCGAAGTACGGCTTAACAGCACAACAGAAGTGAGCCACGTGCCTACGTGCTGTGGGCCAGAGTGGTGGAAGCAGAAAGCCGGAAGCCAGCACACCGCTGCATACCGGTTTTACTGCAGGATATCTGCGGGCGGCGCCCCCGCCACTTTCTACAAGGGCGGGTGAAGCAGAAGCCCCGAAGAAAAGACTAGCACCAGTAACAGGCAGCGAACACGTAAGACTTTCCCTTGTTTCCGACATCGCCAGCGGCATCCCGACTGGAAGGAGAAGGCGAAAAACTCTGCGTTACTTCTCTTGTGAGACAGGCTGCCGTCTTTCGCGTGACTGGGTATGTTTACTTATATGAGCGCAGTGTGGGTTGCTTCCCATCACGCGGCTGCAACCCAGAGAAACTTACACCTGCCGAAAACTGTAAAACAAGTAACGTTTTACGGGCAAGAGGAAAGCTTTGCACACGCTCTGTCCGTGCTGAGTACGTTTGCGCACGTGGGACGTAACAATGCGTAAGAGCATCCGCCGGTACGCCCGTGCTGGCGATATCTCGCACACGTTCTGCCTGCGCGGAGCGCGTGCGGGACTGTGAACACCATTGCATCGTAGCAAGCAGGCCTGCATCTGTAATCGTGATGGACTCAGGTACTGGAGAACGTATGCTTGGCGGCACCCACATCTCTATGTGGGTCATATAGGAGCATGAACACCTGGCGTACCTGAGCTGGCTGGACGAAGTTTTCAATTCTGTTGTGGAAGACCTACTTGCGTCACTGCGTCACACCTCAGTGAAGAGTCAGTGAAATCGTGTAAGTTGCCCGTGTACCAAAAGCGCTCAAGTGGAGCCAGCGGGATGGCGCCGCGGCCCTCAAAGAGGTTTTCTGCACGATACTTCTTTCTCTATCTTTCCGTCTTTCTCTGTGGCTATATCACCACCATATAATGTCTGCTCCGACCTCGGTCTTGCGGCATGATACTGAGCACGAGAACGCTGATGAACGCTCAGCGTACAGCAAAGAGCTTCCAGAATCGCTTCCCTGCCTCCATGCAGGTGTACGACAGCTCTTCGATGTTAGGGCAAGTCAGGGTTCAGGACATGCTCAGCACAGCCACAGCCGCGGTTTCGCATTCCATGTATTAGGTACTCACCGCTGAGGCTGGCAAGTGTGTCGTGTGGTGACACCACCAAGCAGACATGTCAGCATGGTGCGACGGCCGCCACTACCCGAGGGCAATGGTGACCGTTGTGCAGCTTTGGTGCTGACGCAGCTGCGTCACAGCAGGCGGGCAAGATACTACATTCAAATCCGTCTATGTCGCGAGTAAAGGAGGGCGAATAGGGCCACAGGGCCAGTGCCATCATGGAGCTTCGCGCCTGTCACGCTGGAGCCTCACGGCTGTAGCGCGCGGGGCGTAGAAAACCATTTGCTAGATTAGGATGTTGCAGCTACGCCACATCTTGCAACACTCGCTTGATGCTGCCCTGAACAAGGTGTGCGACTGCTGCTGGAGCGTCTTTGGACGTCCGCGGCTTAGCACGCCAGGGGGTTTGGCTCTTCACACCCGCCCTAGGCCAAGAGGGTGGTCCGTGTTGTCTCAGTGAGCCATTCCGCACCAGTCCCGGGTTCGTTACCAGGATGACTTTGTCGAAAGCTCTCCCGATAACGGCGAACTGTAGCACGACTTGACCATGCGCTTTGCCAAGGGCGAACCGCGCCAACACTGTGCACCCGATCCCACCTGCAACGTACAGCGCGTTCTTGTACCAGCACTATAGAACCGTGAAATAAATTTGCACGCGCGCATGCGCCAGAGGATACGCGTGGCAACAAGCCCCGGCGCAAATCCTATTCACCAGCGATTCTCGCTCCTCTTCCGCAGATGCGTGTGAGAAGAGCTGGCGGGCAGGACGGTGTGCAGCGCACGGTACAGCGTTTTTAGCCGGGGTGGGCGAACTGTTCATAGAAGCCCTGCCAAGCATCCTCGTCGTACAGCGACGGGCTCTGGGTGACTCTACCTCAAAACCTGACTTGTCTTCCTTCGTTAAAACACCATGTCTTTTTCCCCGCCTCAGTGAAGTCTGACCTGACCTGGCAAGCACAGGAATGATGACGCACGCGGAGGCTCCCATGCGACCATCCAGAACAATGTGGATCGGAAAACAGCGGAGGCTAGTGGTTAGCAATAAAGGCCGCAGCAAGAGTCAGCCCTGGCCTGCCGCTGTGTACGTACACCGAGCACTAGTCACTCCCCATCAGCCAACATAAGCAGTCTGTAACACGTGCGGAGGTTGTAGGCAGGGAGAAGTGGCTTTTGGGCGAATTCGAAAAATCAAATGTGCGTAAATGGAAACAGTACTCCCTTCCCTTTCGGGTGAACCGACCTCTGTATTGATACTTCACTTGGTTTTAGTCTCCGTAATTTTCAACCTTCTTCGTCAACGTTACCGCACAGCGCTTTATATCTCGCCGTTGCGGCGGCATGTCGTCTCGAATGCTACTCACAACAGTGTTGTACTATATGGCGTGAATGTGGTCGCTTGAGACACTGCCGACCTCGCGTTGGATATAGATTGACCTGTAAGAGAGGCGCTTCCTTCATAATGACAAACAAGAAAAGGAAGCTGCTTGATCTACCTGCTGTTCCTCCCTGGCGCACAAAGAGCATCCTGACCAACTTGAAATTTTTCCTGCGAGCTGATGAACGGGTTTTCTCGGCGTTCCCGGGCGACCACACTATCAAAAAAGGCGGTGCGCTGAAAAAAAGCTGTGCTTTGCCTACTACGGAGGGGAGCACTTCCACGCCGCATCCCTGTGTAGACAGTACGAATGAAGGCGCTCGCACTCCTTTACATAACGGGGACACGGCACGGGTCCAGAACTTGGGCGAATGCATATCGCGCCAAGAAGCATATCAAAGCAATTCAGAAATGAAAAGGGCACCGACAACCACGCACGACGAGCTAGAAGCACCTCCGACTGCGAGAGGCGGCGAAAAAGAGCCGGTGCCCGTACTGAGTAATGCATCCGACCAGCACTTTAGGAGGCTTGCCTGGACTCAGCACTTTAAACGCCGACTACGTCTTTGCCACCGTTTTCAAGCGGAGCCTTCTGCAAAACGCCGTTCGATACGGTGGATCAAGGTAGACTGGACAATGGCGTACTCGCCGCACAGTATCCCAGGATGTCACGTTGCCGGCGTCGTTTACAGGAGCCGTGTGTAGTGGGAGGGGGCACTGTTGTGGAGATGGGTCCGGAATGAAGATCTATTGTTGGTCAGTGGAAAACTTCCGCCTTTGTGTCGCCGTCCTGCGTTGTGCACGTAGCCCCTGCAGACTTGGGAGACCGGACACCCCTGTTCCCCCAAAAGCACGGACGCCTGCGGGTAAGCCTCTTTACACTGGGCTCCTTCTGAGGGCGTGCGACCACTCCCGGCAACTCCGCAATTCTGTTTCACGATCTTTACTCGTAGAACATGCTACTTGCCACAAGGTATCAGAAAGCTTTCGCAGGCTGTGCTCGCACCGCGCGGTGCCACTTCGGGTGGAACCGTCAGCTTCCATCAACTACATTTATTCATGCGCGCGTCCACCTGCTCTTCCTTCTGCCCATGAACCTGTCTTCCTCCTAGACAGATGTGCATGACAGAGTGTGTACCCCGTCTGCTCTCTTCGTGTACGTTTCACCTATCCCGCCCAGGTCCTTTGACTTTGACTCGCGCGTCTTCCGGAGAAGCTGTGTAACCAAATCTGCGCTGGCTGCACTGTATCTCCTTGTTACTTGTTCAGACGGATGCAGGATACTGGTGTGCAGCAGCCAGAGTGCGAGAGAGTAATCACTCCGATAGGCCACAGCAGACGCCTTCCGCTGAGAAGAAGCCAGCGGTCGTGCGTACTGGCGTAAGTAGTTTGTCTCCTTCTGCATAGGATGCGGAAACATTGCACCTATTATTTCAGTTCTACGGTGGGCGTATACTCAGAGAAGAGCAACAGGCACTCCGCCTCTGCTTTGCAGGAGTCCGGAGAGCTGGAATCACTCTTACACACCCATCTACAATACGTATGAAACAATTCAGATGTATGAACAGCCCTGCGCACCCGCAAGACTGACCTGAGAAATCCACGAGGAAGAAAGCAGGGAACAGCCGCTCTGTAGGGACGAGGAAGACCTCCGAGGTCGCTTGCTGGAAAAAGAATGCGAAGGCCAGGGCCCTCGTACTGTACATAAACTGAGTCTACCATATATTTACTCCAACGACACAAGTGTGAAGAAATGCAGTTGAAGAGTACATCAGCTTGTTTGCGGCCCTGTCAACTAGTCAAAAGTCGAGAAAAGTGTCTTCTTTTGTGTCCTTGGGTCTGCGGCACAGGGCGCATGTTAGGTCATCAAGCGGCTGGGAACACATGGATGTTCGTCCGAGGAGCCCGGAGCACATAGAATTCGCATTCTCTACGCCACGAATCACGTGGAGGTCTCCTTTCAAACAGGCGGAGTAGACTGGTTTCGCTATCGTAACCGAAGCAAAGCTTCAACCCTCGTGAAAGCCTTGCGGAAGTTGGTGTAGAGATGTATAGTTAGAGAGAAAGCCTGCAGAGCTTGCGGCGCCTACATGCTTCTTCTGTCTCGAATTACAACGTAACCGCCACTCTGAGGCACGTCTGCACGTATATACATATGTATAACATATGCATATATAATGATACACAGAGATAAACAGATATATGGTCTAGGTGAACAGCATGGTCCTCAGAGATATCAGAGCCGCCACCCACATACGATTCGCTCTCTAGAAGAACCATGAAAAAGCCTTGGGCTCATCTCCCGTAATATCGCGCTCTCGTGAGCGGGCAGCGGTGACTTGTTCTTCTGAGTGCCTCATTTAGCGAGTCTGGTGTATGCATACAATCCAGGGAACTCCTACGGTCCTGACTCACCGACTCTACAACCTCAACCGCAGGCTGCCCACGGCTGTGACAGCTGCTGGTAGCTGATTGTACGCACATCGGATGCAGAAACATCAGGCCGTGGTGGGCACCGCACCGCTATATACGTAGATATATATACGTATACATACCTGCATGCATTTGTTTCCAAATGAGGTGCTTATATTACGAGCCGACGCAGAAGTTTACGGCGAAATGGGACCGAAAGCAACCAGTTACAGGCAGAAACCCTATTCGTCTTCGCTTAAGGTCTCCGCGTGCCTGCGCGTCATCTGCTTGGCTGCCTGACACTTCAGGGAAACCATACGGGGAAACCGATGATGCCGCTTGTCTACTTCGATGTGCGTGCACGCGGGGAATCAGCAGAGAAGCGTTACAGCATGTAGACGGCCAGTGTTGGAGAAAGGCCAGAACTTCCTCTAGAAGAAGTGTGCAGCATATACACAGCGCCACGCGTCCCTACAGGGGGCACCCTGGATTTATTTACCCTAGGGCCTTGATCTGCACTTCATCATCTATTGATGCGCTCGGTTGTGCGTGTCCGTTATAAACGATCGTATTCATTATCTCAAGATTTTCAAGAGGCGCGGGCTGGCGTGTGCTCACTCCACACCCCTGCGCTGCTCCTCCACACCGTGTCTGCACGTGTACACGACTAAGCTGCAGGACGTGAGGGCTGCCTGAAGGCTCGTAAAAAGGATGTAGAAATGAGAAGAATTGTGCCTGCGCAGTGAAAAGCCGACATCCGCTTCCTCTGCGGTACCTTCTCCAGTTACGCAGCTGAGCGTGCGATCGCCACTGTGCGGATAGCGTGGATAGCAGCTCTTCACCACAGGTCAGGGATGCGGAGCGTGCAAGTTCTAACAGCAATCTGAGTAATGCTCAGGAGTTTCTGAAAACTCTTTGCGCGGACGACACATGTGTTGGTGCGCCGTGGACGTGCTTCCATCGCGGGCCTGGCAGTTGGCGCACGAAGCAAAGCTGCTTCGGCTGCAGTGAGCCGACGGCCGCGCACCGTGCGCACGCGGTCCTCTGTAGGGGCTTTGAGAGCTAACGGAGGCGTGCGACAGCTGCCACTGATGCAATATGAGATCACCCCGTAGTTCCTGATTGAGACGGCCTCGTGCCTTTGCATGAAAGAGGACGTAGCCAGCTTCTTAATAACCATGGTTTCCAAGCTACCGTGCCTCGCTCCTTCGGAGTTAAGTAGACGCACCTGTTCCTTTCCCGTTTCAAAAGATCCCTTTTTTCGAGCTCTCGTGGCCTCTTTACACATACACCCATGAACACATGAACGCAAATATATATATATATATATATATATATATATATATGCGCGAGAGTCCTTGTCTCCCTCTTTCTGCATAGATCGATATATATATATATATATATATATATATATACATATACGTCATGCACAAAACAGTGATTTTCCGAAACAAGGGGATCATTACTTGTCCCTACACACGCGCTGCTGACCATTCAGCTAGCTTTCCCCTGCCTCCTGCTGAGTATTCAGCTACTCTTCCCCTGCCTAGTGAGAACGCGCATTCAGAAGCCGACATCAAGCAAGCCTGTGGCATTGTCCCCCGGTAGCGGCCACTGTCGAACTCCTGCCGCGTTGCAGGCTCAATAACACGTCGCGACGGCGCATTCTGAAGTTTGCACCAAAGGCGGTATTACTTTATGATACTGCCGTCGTCAGTACTCCACTTCGTCAGAGCTTTACCAATGCTTTCTCTTTACGCTTCGCAGCGCGTTTGTTTGCCTGTATGGTGTGCTGGCCACCAAAGCATACACTTAGAGCAGAGACGCGCTAGAGCCGCCGGCCGGGCCTCCTCGGAAAGTTCGCCCGACCCGTTGTCTAGGCGATTGTGCGAAGCTGCAGAAATTATCTGAAGCACACAAAAATGCAGGGAGCACGCGATGTCTCATGCGTCCGTAGATTGAAATATATACTCAGGATGACTCATACGTCTGTAGATCCACATATAAACTCCGGACGTCTCATACATCCGTAGACGGAGACAGAAATTCAGGATGTCTGATACTTTCGTAGATCGGCATATAAACGCAGGATGTCTCACACGTCCGTAGGTCGGCATATACACTTAGGATGCCTCATACGTTCGCACATCGCCATATAAACTCAGGATGTCTCATACGTCCGTAGGTCGACATATAAACTCAGGGTGTTTGCGCGTAAAGACGTACACGGAATTTGGTGTAAGCGTTCTCAAGCTACACCCTATTTCCAGCTTGCGGATTCGTACGGCTGCATATTTCTCGGGAAATCTGTGTACGCATTCTCGTGCGTTTCACACCGTACAGCTGGTGCGCGGCAGCCTGCGTCTTTGAATAGTGCTGGCGCTGTTATGAATGAAAGGCGCAAAGGCACCAACGGGATGCACATATGCAAGACCTCAGCATGTATGCATATATATACATACATACATTTACATATATTCATGAATATACAAACCAACAGTAATGGTAGCTGGATACAAGTACAAGAATTTCCTAACAACAACGGCGGAGCATCTGCGCATGCAGCAGCGCTCGCGCCGCGAACGCAATGACAATGATTGCAGCCGTCATCGCTTCAAGATGTCACCTCTGTGACATTCACAGCAGCGCCACGAATGAATGGCGCATAGGGCAGCACCTGGCTAAGATACTATAATAATATATGAAGTACAATATAATACTGTGGTTTAAAGAAATCTGCATATGCAGCACTGCTCGCGCTGGTGATGCAATGACGATAACTGCAGCCGCCATCACTTCAAGATGTCACCTCTGTGACATTCACAGCAGCGCCACGAATGAATGGCGCAGAGGGGCAGCAACTGGCTACAACAGTATGATAATATATATAGTACGATATAATATACAGGTTTAAAGAAATCTGCGTATGTGGCACTGCTCGCACTGCTAGTGCAATGACGATGACTGCAGCCGCCATCACTTCAAGGCGTGACCTCTGTGACATTCACAGCCGCTCCGTGAATGATTTGCGCAAAGGCAGCAACTCACTACAAGAATATAGGGGTTTAGAGAATTCTGCGTATGCAGCACTGCTCATAGCGCGAAGGCACTGACGATAATTGCAGCCGTCGTTACCCTGAGAAGTCACCTATCATGCGCCGCTTCACAACCTATCAGCTTGACGCACTCCGCTAGCCCGCTGCTTCAGACATAGACAGACTTGCACCTCCAGGTGCAGATGTACTACAGAGGTTTCACAGCTCCAGCAACGTATCTACGTATGTATATACCTCTACACTTGTATATATATGTAGATATATATATATATATACATATAGGTGTATATATGTAGCTCACAGATGAAAAGTAGGGAAGAAGAAAGGCGGAATACCTCCACTGCAGACCAGCAGCACATTCTTCACGACAGGCGGCGTATCACTACCTCAGACGTGCTTCTGCGTGTACGGATCCCTAGGAGTGCGTAAGTTTCTTCTGCCGATGTACACACGTGTACTTGACAACCGCAGTATCCAGAGAAAAGATGAACTAGACTCAAATGTGCTTCTGCGTGTACGGATCCATCGAAGTACATGCCTTTCGTCTACCAGCGTACATACGCGTACTCAACACCTGCCACTTTCCAACAGAAAATGATTTCTCTGGGAAAGCAGAAGCACAGCTGGAAGGTCTTTACGTGCTTGAAGGCAGATCAAGAGAAGAAGGCTGGCGTGCGTCCCTCATGTTCACTGTACATATATATATATATATATATATCTTTGTTTTTGATAGATGCGGCCCTACTGATTGCTGCATCTCCTTACTTGGTCGTAGGCCTCCAGCACTAGAGCAACCAGGAGATTCAGGATGATGGTATCGGTGAGGAGGTAGAAAGAGACGAAGTAGGCCCCGCAACTGAAGACGGAAGTTTGCTTCACCAACGCCTGCAATAAAGACGGCATTCATCAACTACACGAAAGGCATGTTGAAAGTAAGTGTGTATGCATATATGCATATACATATATATATATATATATATATATATATGTATATATGTGTATGTATATGTATATACATATATATGCGCAGTGAGGCTTCACCAACGCCTGCAATATAAATGGCACTCATCCACACAAAAGGCATCTTGAAGATAAATACGCCAGCGTAAGGCGACGTTACCCGTCGTGCATACGTCTATCAAGACAGCAGGTACTGCGTACAGATATACATACGTGTATACGTGTACACATACGTATACATTTTTATACACATATACGCATATATACTTATCTACAGACAATATATACACACGTACATCCAGATATGTATATATATATATATATATATATGTGTATATAATTACAAATATATATATACATATATATGCGCAGTGAGGCTTCACCAACTCCTGCAGTGTAAGCGACACTCAGCACCATGAAAGGCATGTCGAAGGTAAAAAATGCGCCAGCGGAAGGGGGCATCATCACCGTCGCACATACGTCTATCAGTGCAACCTGTACTGCGTACACATATACATACGTGTATACGTATACACATACGTATACATTCCATATACATATACGCATATATACATGTATAGAAACGCATATATACACGTGTGCATCTATATATGTATATATATATATGCACATATGCATATATATACATATATATATATATATATATATATATATATATATATGTATATGTATATATATACATATATACGCGCGGCGAGGCTTCGGCGCAGCGAGACAGGTACAGCCACTGAACTGCCAGGGAAAACGCAGGCAGCGGTATTCATGACAAATAGATACGTTCCCGCGCTCACTGGTCATGCGTGTGACGCCGCCTTCTGTGGCGTTTACCGTTTAAAACGAATGATACTGTCACAACAAGAAGACCTGCACTTGTTTTGCGAGATTACTGACGAATAAATCCTGCAATATACACCCTTAGCAAGGCCTGAGCTTGTCTGCGCATTTGCACGCATACATATATATATATATAAATATATATCTGGGTTCATTGCGGTATAGGCAAAACAAACATCTGTCTTCCTCGTTCGTCATATCTGCTGCTGCCCCTCCTCTTCCTCTTCTCCTCCTCCTCCTCCTCCTCCTCCTCCTCGTCGCTTTTCTCCTCGTACTCCTCGTCTGCTACGTACATTTTAATCCACAATCATGTGTAGACCGAAGCCAACTGACGGATGCCGCACACAGCGGATCCCGCTATTACAGCAAGTGTATATGAGTAACAGTGACGTAGGAGGAGGACAGTATCGGCAAAAAGCCAGCCGCCGCAGCCTTGAGCGACAGTAGAGCAGAAGAGAAACAGATTGATGACGTATGCCGCACACAGCGGATCCCGCTACTACAAGCAGCTATACATGAGTGGCTGTGACATAGAAGGAGGACAGTATCTGCAAAAGACCAGCCGCATCAGCATTGAGCAGCAGTAGAACAGAAGAGAAATAGATCGACGTATGCCGCACACAGCGGATCCCGCTACTACAAGCAGCTATACATGAGTGGCTGTGACATAGAAGGAGGACAGTATTGCAAAAGACCAGCCGCATCAGCATTGAGCAGCAGTAGAAGTAAACCACGCATCAAGTACTCCAACTTCGGACTACTCGTTATGGCATAACCAGCATTGTACTGCAGAAGAGAAATAGCTTGACGTATGCCGCACACAGCGGATCCCGCTACTACAAGCATATATACATGAGTGGCAGTGACATAGAAAGAGGCCAGTGTTTGCAAGAGACCCGCCGCCGCAGCCTTGAGCGACAGCAGAGCAGAAGAGAGACTGGTTTTCGCAAGAGAGCCATCGCAGCAGCAGGCTAACAAGTTCGTACTATCAGGAGCATATGCGGGCTAACAGTACCAGGAGAGAAGAGAACATTTCTTGAAAGAGCTGCGGCAGCAAGTGAAAACGCACATATATGCAAAAATGTATACATATACACACACATATGTATATATATACATATATATATATATATGTATATATATGTATACACGTATAATTCTTCTTACACAGCGACGCATATTATATCTGGTACAGTGGTCGTTTCCCAAGTCTATCGAGGGGTCTCCACTCGTCCTGTTCATACACATAAACAACCAGGTGTCTACAAGCGCATGTATGTGCGTGAACTGGAGCCAGACTCAACATGCATATTTCGCTCTGAGGAGATAGTCGTGCAACTCCAAAGCAAGTAGCTGTAGGCTAGCAGCAGTGAGGTCCTTACTCTCGAAGAGTCATCCCAGCCGTTGACTGTAAGGAGGAATAGTCTCGCAAGAGAAGCGGAGAACTGACGCAAGTTCAAAAGGAAAAGTAGTCGTGCAACTACAAAGCAACTCTCTATAAGCTAGCAGTAATGTTCCTAGTTTTAGCGAGTCATTCCAGCCGTTGACTGTGAGGAGGAAGAGAGTCACAAGAGAGGCGAAGAAATGTCCAAAATTGTAAAGAAGAAAGAGTCGTGCAAGCACAAACCAAGCAGCTGTAGGCTATCAGTAATGTTCCTACTTTCAAGGAGTCATCCCAGCCGTTGACTGTAAGGAGAAAGAGAGTCACAAAAGACGCGAAGCAATAACTAGCACTCAAAAGATGAAGGAGTCGTGCAACTGTAGGTGCACTACAGAGCAAGTAGCTGTCGGCTCGCAGGAGGTCATTACTTTCGAGGAGTCCTCCAAGCCGTCGGCTGTAAGAAGGAAGAGTCTCACAAGAAAAGCAAAGAAAGGTCTAAGATTGAAAGGAAGAAGTAGTCGTGCAACAACAAAGCAGGTAGGTAGCCCGAGGCTGGCACTAATATTCCTACTTTTCGAGAGTCGTCCCAGCCGTTGACTGTGAGGAGGAAGAGAGTCACAAGAGACGCGTAGAAATGTCTAAGATTTGAAAGAAGCATAGCCCGGCAACTACAAAGCAAGTAGCCGTAAATCCAAAAATAGAAATAGGGTTGCACCTACAAAGCAAGAAGCCGTAGGCCAGCAGTAAGGTCCTTACTTCTAGCGAGCCATCCCAGCCGTTGACTGTGAGGAGGAAGCGAGTCACGAGGGATAAGAAGAAATGACTAAAACTTAAACGAAGGAATAGTAGTGCAACTACAAAGCAGCTAGCCGTAGGCAAGCCGAAAGCAAGTAGCCGCAGACTAGCC